ATGTTTTGCATCAGTCTTGCATGTCTCTTTTGAACTGCTGCTGTGAGTTTATTTGAATTGCTGGAGCATGGGGTGACCCGCTGTTTATTTTATTTTATTTTATTTTTTTTTTACTGAACATGGTTCATTTTCAATCCCCTTTACAAGGGAAAAATACTAATCACACAAATGACATACAATCATTTTGATCTTCGGTCATTAAAATAATATATATATGGAATAAGCAGAGCTCCATATGTTTATTCTTAATATATTTTTTAATGCACAGATTCTGCCAAAAAAAAAATCAGTGTTTATTGCCTCATGACTGGGATGGTGGAATTTATTTCCATGACTTTTAACTACCGTCAATATAATCTTATGACACAAACAACTCTGCTAAAGCAACCTACACTGTTTTGACAGTTCATGGCTTGCTCCACGCAGAGATAAAAAAAGCTATTTTCTGGTTACCAGCCCTGAGCTTTACATAAAGGCTTTGTACACTTGTTAGCCCTGCGTCATTCTAAACCCAGGGTAAACTAAACTGAGGATAATCTTTCTTTCACGTTTTACAGTACACTGCTCATAATTTTCCAAGAGTATTAACAATTAATCCTGGGTATTAAACTGGCATTTCAGACTTTACATTCCCCAGGTAAAAAAGTGGCACTAAGACCACTTATAAATTACAAGTGTGAAATGTTCCTCTGCTCAGGGTTAAAAGCAGTCTTTAGAACGATGATATACGATGTGAAAAGCCATATAGTGAAGACGAACTCCATCTGTTAGCCATTTCAGCTTCATCATTTTCTCTTGTTCTTAGGTGGAGTGGTTGACAGCGTCACATGCATCCAGCCTCATCTCATGCTGGAGCGGGACCTCCGGCACATTCCCTACGAGCTTTTCCACTCCTGCATGATCACCAGCTACAGCTACCTGTTCGCCAACATCCACTACCTGGACAACAAGCATCGCATGCTCAGCGGGCATCTCCATCCAAGCCCCAGAGCACCATCTGGGAGTGATTTCAGCCCCCCAGGAGAAGCGTTACTCCCTGAGTGTGAGGCCAAGCAGAGATCCCGGCCTGTGAACTACAGACGCGCCATAGCCACAGTGGTCATCACAGGAGTGGTTTGTGGAATTGTGTGTTTGATGATGTTGGCAGCAGCTGTCTACGGATGTGCGTATGCAGCAATTAATGCCAAGTATCAAAGGGAGCTGAAGAAGAAAGCGAAAGAGGCGGGTTCAGGAGAGGAGCGGAAAAACATTGAAAGAGAGGAGGACAAAGAACCTCTTGAGTGACCCGAAGATCAGCATCACATGATGCACACAAAGCACAAATACACATCAGGGTTACACTACAGATTATCCACATACTGTTGTGTATCTACAAAGTTACTTTCAAGGCAAGTCAGTGTACTTGGCAGCCATATTGGCAATGCCCCTAGGGCAGCTATTTTCTAATTATGCAGATACCTGAAATGGGAAAGACGTAAAACTCCAAAACTATTATTATTATTATAGCTTAAATTAGGCTAGAACAAAAAAATGTATTGTTCAGGCTGGTCAAACAAATGCACATGCATGGTCTAGACCAGTGGTCACCAACCTTTTTAGGCCCAAGATCCCTGACCTCGGCCTTTATGAAAGACAAGATCTACCTATTGAAGAATTGATAGAAAAAGACATCCCAGATTGTACTTCAAATTTGAGGCCTTTTACTTAGTATTTTAATGAGTGATGCGCCTGTCATAGCTGATTCAGAATTCAGATTTTCTTTTCTTTTTTAACTAGCAAATTGGATTCTGATACTGATACTGATTTTTAAGCAAATGTATTTATTGGCTATTTGCTTTATAACAAACAAACTGGCTTTAAACAAAAATATCTAGCCATTTGAAATTAGAGGCAACCACTGCATTTTAATCACGATCTGCACGGGCAGTTGTTTTTGATTTGATTTAGATTAATTTCAGGATTTAAAACAAAAACAGAATGGTCTGACTTTAGGTGTCATTTATTTATTTGCTACATAAAACATCTGCACGAAACAAAAACAGCAGGTCTGAATGAGACGCACTCACTGACAGCAGGTGGCACTAATAAACAGGGTTGCCAGGTTTTTGCAATAAAACTAGTCCAATAGTGTTTCGAGGGGGGTTCCCCTGTAAAAATCGCATTCGGGGGTAAAATACACGTTTTTCGGCGGGGATCTTCCAGTAAAATTCACATTCCAGGGGCTAAATATCACGTTATTGGGGTCGCTTCAACCCAACCCGCGGCAACAGTGTTAAAGTAGCCCAATTCCGCGCGAAAACCGCGGACTTGGCAACACTGCTTATGAACCGACCGCAATATGCAGTAGAACTGACATTTATGTAAACTGATAAAATAATGGCCAATATAAAAAAGCTAAAAAGGTATCAAGTTGTCAGTACAAGAAGATCGCGATTGACGGGTTGGCGACCACTGGTCTAGACTAAAACAACAGCCAATAATTTTGACAAAAAGGCAGTTGGCTCTTTGCCAGTCAAAACAAAGAGTCATTCTGTTTTATAGCACAAGTTCGTAGATTTTCAACCAGTTTTATATTAGTAGTAAATGTAAATTAGCAATGTGTACTCTTTCTCCATGTTACCTGCACCTAGTGCATTATGGGTGCTGAAGTATCCTTACCTTTTGGATGAAAGGGAATGCCATAGCCCTTATTCTCTATTTTCTCTAGTCATGTAGTAAAAAAACAATAAAAAAAACAACGCCTTCCTACTGCATAAACAGCCAAATTTTATTAAAAGCTCATCTTTCTAGCAGTGAATTATCCCTTTAATTGTCCAACACAATGCCGCCAAATTGTAGCCAGCTCACAGTTTATGGCCTACTACAGATTTCAGACTTATTTGTCACACTATCTTATCCATATTTTTCAGTTATTTTTACATTATTATTTTTTTCCAGTACTGTGCAAATCTTTGTTAAATCATTGGAAAAATGGGGAGGAGAATGATTGTGTTGTTGAGGCACAGAGTTTCTGATTAGTACTGCAAATGCCCACAAAAAAAAAAAAAACATCTTTAATTGTGTGCAGCATGACAAGCTTTCATGTTTCAGGTGTACCCTTGAATCAACTGAACTTATTGAGCAGTGCAATTTTGCCTATTCGTTTTTCTATATGTGGTCTGTCTCTGCTCCCTCGTACAGTCTCTGGTATCTATTATAACTTTTAAAATGATAAGACTAAAAACTGAGGGGAGACTCCCCTCCTGCTGTTTACACTATTGCAGCTCTATGGATAAACAACATCAATTCCCATTGAGCTTTAGTTAGGCCAAAGATTTATGTGAACATATCAAACGTATGTGTTTTAATCCATCCTGATTCGCCTTGTTAAATGGGGTCGGGGGGGGGGGCTGATGCTAATACAATTATTGCGCTTCTGCTCGTGACACAGAAATTACATAATCACACAGAATTTACACACAGCCAGTAACAAGCAATATTTACATATTATATTGTCAAACTATACCTTTTTAAAGGGTTTTATTTACAGTCTATTGCATAATTTTAGATAAAAAATATGATAAATTATGATGAAAGGACGATTTATATCATCCATACTCCATACTCCATATTAGTTCATGTAGACAAATCCTTATCAGTGTGCTCTATTATATAAGCATCCATGTGAATATACAGAATCTGTTTGTATATAGATACAAACAGTGGATTAAGAGATTCGGAGCTCTTGAGAAATGAGATGGCAAGAAGGAAATAGTGATACAGATGTCATATGATGGAGTATACGAGATTATGTAAACGTGCATATGAAGGGTTGATCTGTCAGAAATGATCTATGTATGTTATGTAACATCAGAGCACACAACTAAGCAATATATTGTACATTGCTAAAGTTTACATGTCCTGTGATGTACAACATGCTATACATGCTAAAAATCTCAAATTATTTTAAATGACATTGTGTTAATTCTTTTTTTTATGATCATCAAGCAGTCTTTAAGATAAAAGTGTTTTAGAAAGTACACTGAATATTCATATTATTAAAAATACATCGGGCACACTAGAAGAGCGTTTGAAATAAACTATAGGGAAAAGTGGCACATTCATACACACTGGAGCAATTTAATTTAATGTATTTTTAATGTAATGCTATGGCTGTCATCAAGCACAAATCATATTGAAGTTGTGATTATAGGAAGAAATCCTGTAAACTGGCCTTTAAAACACATCAAGGACACACATGCCCCGGTTACACAAGAGAGTTCTGTCATCAGCATGTCAGGCTGCATTAAGTGTGTGCTGCAATGCGCTTGTGAAACTGAGCAGTATCACATCTGAAGCAGTGTATGAACATTATTTTAAATATATATATAATTATTCTTTTCAAATCAAATCAACCAACACTCATTGAGCTAGAAAGCTCAATTTGTCATATATCTGTGGTATATGTGTATGTGCTTGTATTAAAAATGTTGTTAAATATATGTTCATTAGTGATTAGCATTAAAGCATAAAAATAAAAGATGTAAAATATACATCAAATTTAAAATATATAAAATAAACAACATGAAATACTGTATAGAACTTGATTTTAGTCGTGTGTATGTCCACTCCAGCAAAACATTGAATCATGCGCAGTAGAGGGTGAAAATCTGTCTGTTCTACTTCATTTCTCTGTCAGTTATAACATGAATCATTTGTGCATGAGGGTATGTGTGTGTGTGTGTGTGTGTGTGTGTGTGTGTGAGTGAGTGAGTGAGTGAGTGAGTGCCCCTCTAGGCTTATGTTCAAGCAGACACTTTCTAATTTTCTCTCTGCTATTCTATTTCCTTTCATCCGTTCCTACTGTTTGTCTGGCGTGTCTTTTTGCTCACATGGATTATGTCTTTAGTTCTCCATCTCACAATCCCTCTAAAGTATAAACACCTCCAGTGCACAGAAACAACAACAAAAACACAAGATTTTGTCAAATAAGCAGTGATATTCATGCAAGGTTAAGGTACCTGCAGCAATGGGTGACTCTCTCTCATCCAACAAATGAATGGCGCTGCTGGCCAAAACCACACTCTTATTCTCAGAGCCTGAAACACAATGATACAGTTCATTTAAAACAAATAGTATAGAGGAGGCCAGGCCAGCACTTTCAGTTTTAATGTGGAACTGTGTTTTTTGTGTTATACTGATCTCAAGCTCTGTTTTAATTTTCCCACATTTTAACATTCACCACATCAACCAACTACTGTTAAATACTATTTCAGTAATATCTGTAAGTCTATATTATGTACCATACGTATATGTAACTTGAATTGAAATTGTTATCTGGAAAACTAATGGATATTTTTAAATGCCTTGTCACTTTGACAGTTTACATATATTTCCCTGCTTTAGAAACATTCGAAAAAACACTTCTGATAGGGATTAGAAGTGAGAAAGGCAAGAAAATTACGTTTAAAAGAGTCCATGTGAAAACATAAGGAAAGAGAATTTCTGAATGAGAATTTGGGTAAACAAGACATTCATTCCAGTGCATTCCAGTGAATTTTTCACACTGCTACCACAAGAGTGCAGTATGTGTTGTCTTTTCCACAGACAATCGAAAAAGAAAATGAGGAGACAGAACACACCAAACTGAAAAGAGACGTTGTCACAGATATTCTTGTGGTAACAAAATCAAATTAAAATACCAAGCACTAGATTATTTTCCTGACAGAAAATGTACAGTTCATTCAGTCAAATGGATAAGGATTATTTACAACATTATTATTTGACATAATTATTTGTTGCAGTCTTTTTGAGTGGAAGTTCCTCAAATCAGAAATGTTATCCATAATTTAAAAGGCAGTAGACGCATTTGGGAAAAGGTGGATATGATTGCTGTTTCATTTTGATAAACTGCAGAACTACTACAGTAAAAAATGCTGTAACACTAGTAATTAGCATCCATGAATATTCTGTAATTTCACTGCATTTTCACAGTGTTCAGTTAAGATGAATGGTAAATAATCCATTGTTTATTCCTAACAAATGTCATGCATCATTACTCCACTAATTCTGCAATGCAGGAAGCTTGTTTTGAGGGGGAGGAGATGGAGGTCTATCTAAAAAGATCTGTCCACGAAATAATATTTGTTTCAGTGAGAAAAATAAAAAATGTGATGCAGCCATTTAGGCATGTTTTGTGGTAAGCAAGTTAATCAAGTCTACACAGGGGGAGTAAAATATTATTCTTAAAGACAGCACATTCTTCAAGGGATAGTTCACCCACAAATGAATATTAGCCCATGATTTACTCACCCTCAAGGCATGCTAGGTGTATATGACTTTCTTCTTTCAGACGAATCCAATTGGAGTTATATTAATAATTGTATTGGCTCTTCCAAACTTTATAATGGCAGTGGGCAGGTGCTTCTGTTCAATAGTCCAAAAGAAGTCCAATAAAGTCCATCCATCCATACTAAAAAAGTGCCTCATATGGCTCCGGGGGGTGAATAAAGGCCTCCTGTAGTGAATCGATGCATTTTTGTAAGATAAATATCCATATTTAAAATGTTACAAATACTTTTTTCTCATTTCCGCTGACTGTCATTCATGCAAGCCATTCCGGGCGGATGACGTCGGACGTATGTGTCGCGCATGCACCGGTGAGATATGCTACTCTTGCGAGTTTGTTTACAGGAGCAAAGGAAGCAAAGTTTCCTTACTTTAGCAAAGGAAAACCAGTCTCCTCTTGGCTTATATCGAAATCCTCTAACATTTTTCTTTACAAATCCTCGTTTTGTGCTTCTAATTCGTGACCGGCGTTTTGTTTTGCTGTCTCTCCTCCGCGCTTACGCGTTCGTCACTAATCACCGGCGTGTGCACTAAGCATACGTCCTACATCACCCGCCCAGAATGGCTTTGTCAGACTTATGGACATGTTTTGTTGTTTTTTCATTCCCCATGTGTTCACTGTGACCTAGTTTCTGTCTCCTGTTGATTGTGTCAATTGGTTTAGGTGTGTCTCATTAATTAGCTTCATTTGCTTTAGTATTTAAAGTGTAGTCTGTCCCGTGCTCCCTCGTCCAGTATGATTACGTTTGTCTCCTGGCTGCCTTCTGTGTATTACCCTCTTGTGGATTATTAAAAATCTGTTTGCATCAATCTTCTTCTTCATACGTGTTTTATGGACCACACTTGGTGACAGAATACCGGACCAAAAGAAAAAAGAGAATGGAATGGGCGGCGAAGTTCTCAGCGATTTCGTTTCATTTGCCCTAAAGTTCGCACATCTTGCCGTCACGTCTCCACACAACAACGAGACCATGAAGTCCCTGTTCCGGATTGAGGCGAATTACCATTGCTCCGTGGACCTCCCAGACTCCACAGGACTGAACTGGAGGGAGGCCATGTTTCGGTCTCTGGAGAGCATCCTACCCCGATCCGGAACATTTAAGGACCCAGAGCCCAGCCCACCGTCACCCCGCTGTGTGGAGCAAGAGCCTGAGCCCACCGCTGACAGAGAGGCAGAGCCCGCCGCGACTGACGAGCCATCACCTAATGGAGCGACAAAGCTGAGAATCGTCTCGGAGCCAGAGCCTGTGACGTCAGACCAGGTGCGAGAGCCGACTACAGAGCTCTCCACGGGGGAGAGCACTATGGACAGTGAGAGCACGGAGGGAAGCTCCAACCACTGCACCATAGCTGAGGGTGAGCTGAGCTCAGTGGACTGTGTATCATCTGCCTGTCCTGAACTTTCTATCTGCTCTGAACCGTCATCATCTGCCTGCCCTGATCTGTCTGTCGGCTTTGAACTCTCTGTCAGTCCTGTTTCGGCTATGGAGGCCGTTTGTGAACTATCTGTCTGCCCTGAACTGTCTGTCTGTCCTGATGCAACCACGGAGGTCGTTCCCCTATCACTGGCGCTCCCAGTGCTGTTAGTGGCCTTGTGGTGTGTGTGGGCAGCACACACCGTTCCTAAGCCCCATGATCATCCTGAACTCCCGCCCAGCCTCCCTCTCCCACCACCTCTGCACCAGTCCTCACCATCACCACTGCTGTCTCCTGGCAGCCCCTCTGCTCACCCTTAGCCCACCATCTGTGCGGTGGGATCGCCACGGGTCTGCCAGTCTCCACCGGCGTCGTGGCTGGAGGATCCCTTGTCTCCGCCTCCAGCCTCTGAGTCCCGGACTCCGCCTTGGCCCGTTGACCAAGCGGCTCCACCATGGCTCCTAGCTCCCTCCTCTCCGCCGTGGCCCGTCAGTCCACCAGCTCCACCGGGCTCCCTCGTCCCTCCGGCTCCGCTTTGGTTAGTCGTTGACCATCTGCCGCCTTGGTCAGTCGTCGACCATCCGCCGCCTCGGGACTCTACTCTTCCGGCTGCGCCTCGTCCCTCCGGCTTTGTCAGGCTCCTCCTTCCCTTCGGCTCTACCTTGGCCCTCCGGATCCTCAGCGTCACCCTGGCTCGTCGGCTCTCCGTCTCCACCTCGGTCTCCACCACCACCTGCTCCGCCGCCGTCGGTCGGCCCCCTGGAGTCGTCAGCACTTCTTCCACCACCGTCCCTCCCTTTTTCTATGTGGCACGAGGTCGCGCCTTCCGGGAGGGGGGTGAACTGTCAGACCTATGGACCTGTTTTGTTGTGTTTTAATTCTCCATGTGTTCACTGTGACCTAGTTTCTGTCTCCCGTTGATTGCCCGTTACCCGTTGGTTCAGGTGTGTCTCGTTCATTAGCTTAATTTGCTTTAGTATATAACATGTAGTCTGTCCCATGCTCCCTCGTCCGGTATTATTGATGTCATTTGTGGATTACGTTTGTCTCCTGCCTGCCTTCTGTGTATTACCCTCTTTTGAATTATTAAATACCTGTCTGCATCAATCTTCTTCTTCGTGCGTGTTTTCTGGACCACGCTTGGTGACAGGCTTGCACGTACGACAGTTAGCGGAAGTGTGAAAAAAGTGTTCTTAATGTTTTAAATATTGATATTTTTCTTACAAAAACACATCGATTCGCTACAGGAGGCCTTTAGTCACCCCTCGGAACCATGAGACGCATGTTTTATTATGGATGGATGCACTTTATTGGATTTCCTTTGGACTGTTGAACAGAAACACTGCCCATGGACAATTTTTAATATAACTCGAATTGGATTCATCTGAAAGAAGAAAGTCATATACACCTAGGATTTCTTGAGGCAGAGTAAAGAATGGGCTAATTTTCATTTTTGGGTGAACTTAACCCTTTAAAATATCACCTGCCCCAAAAAGCATTGTGATTCAGAAATGAGCAAAAGTCAACAAATGCTGCAATAAAGCAAATTCAGTAAATTAATGCACAGGTCCAGACTGATTGCTGCCCAGCTCTGGGCCTTCTCAGGGTGTTCACTTCCAACTCCCTCAAAACACACATAGTCTATTGCTACGTGCACCACAACAAAAACGTATCAATGGTAGGACTTTTGGTCAGCAAATGCATGGAGACCTGGCTAGTGTTCCTGAGTATATATGAGTTATAGAACCCTGACCTAGCGCATGACACTTGTTGTCTATGTTTGTTGTGGGGTCCAAAATAAGTCTGCATGCTTAAAAAGTCTAGTGTAATGGTAACTTCACTGTGACATACTGAGAAAAGCTCCTCTCATCCCCTGCTTATGCTGTAGAACATTCACCGTACCTGAACTCCATTTTTAGTTGACTGTGAATTCAGGTTTTTATGCAGTAAACACTAATTACAATTCTTTCCGGCTTTGAACACTCCCTAGTCTAATTTTCCTTGTCTCTTAGAATATGATTCACATGAATCCCAGAATCTCTGTCTTTGGCTTTTTTGTTCTGTATTAAATGTTTTTTATACATGGGTCAGAACTAGTCTCTTACTCAAAACAGTTAAATTAGAGTTTCGAGAACATGATTTCTTATCCGGTTTCTACTGTCTTTGAAGTAGATGCTTTTAGCTCATCATCCAAAGGCAATTACTGAAGAACTGTTGTGGCCCTATGTTAAAAAAGACTGCATGTTTCCATCTTTTCCATGTAAATCTGTGTTATTTTTAACCAGAACACACCAGCAATAGTGGGGTACAAAATGAGGGTGAGCGAATGACGACTTTGATTTTTGGATGAACTATTCCTTTAAACATGAAATATCTTGTGACTGTGTCATGTCATGGTAAATGTCTTGTGATTGTGTCACAGCAGGTTCACATTGAGTGTAGACAAAGAAATGACTCGATGCATTGTGCCTGGTTCAGTCATGGTGCAATGCATGAATAGATGACTGCTGTAATGAAACTGGCTGTTTTGTGTGTGTTTAATCACCTGTGCCGAAAGGAAGGGAGTAGATAAAGGTTCCAGGCACCTGTTCAGCAGCCCGTTTGTACCACAAAGGAAAATGATCAGCACTGAACACTACCTCCTTATCTTCTCCAGTCAGGAAGTCTCTTACAACACACACCACACACAATATTCATTATTACAAGCTGTTATACAATTGATATTAAGCTAATAATATTTGACATTCTGGATTCACAAATTACTCAAAACAGCAGTTTGTTTTGTAGCCAGTGTTGGGGAAGCTACTATGGCATATACAGGTGCATCTCAATAAATTAGAATGTCGTGGAAAAGTTCATTTATTTCAGTAATTCAACTCAAATTGTGAAACTCGTGTATTAAATAAATTCAATGCACACAGACTGAAGTAGTTTAAGTCTTTGGTTCTTTTAATTGTGATGATTTTGGCTCACATTTAACAAAAACCCACCAACTCACTATCTCAACAAATTAGAATACTCCATAAGACCAATAAAAAAAAACATTTTTAATGAATTGTTGGCCTTCTGGAAAGTATGTTAATTTACTGTACATGGAACTTTTCCACGACATTCTAATTTATTGAGATGCACCTGTAGTTGGTCTAGCTGCAATACTACTACTACTACTAAAAAAAGTTCACAGACAAATTACTATTTAAAGAAAATTTCAGTTTTATGTCAGTCATATCAGTGCTTTATTAGATGCTGACACTTTGAGAACTCCTTTCCAGGAGTGACTCACTGAAGCCTAACATGAACATAATTCAAGCCAATTCAAGCTATTTTCCTTTCTGGTGATATATCCTCCATGTCGCCAAAAACAGCATGGAGTGCTTCAGTCCATTTTGGACTTTAGGGCCTTGGTTAGTACACTGTTGACATCTCCATTCAAGATAATCACTCAGATCCAGTGTTAATTTTGACAAGCATTTTTTATTTAGTCTTAGTCTTTATCTTGAGACGAAATTCTTAATAGACTTAGTCACATTTTAGTCATTTGAGTATTTCATAGTTTTAGTCGACGAAAAGTAATTGCATTTTTGTCAACTTTTAGTCATTACTTTTAGACATTACTTTTAGTCAAACTGCAGTTACCAACATTTATTTTGGTAGCTATTTTATATGTAGTCTTCAAACAAAAATAGTCATTAATTCTTCTCTCTTTAGACCAAATCAATTTAGCTTAGGAGAAATTTGAATCAAGGATTGAATTTGGAAAAACTTGAATAAATGATGACAATTTTCATTTTTGGGTGAACTATCCCTTTAACAGTAATGAAAAGGGAGCAACTTATAAAAAATATTATTGTCCATATATAATATACATAATTTATAATTTTTGAAAAAGAAGCAGAATAAGACAATAAGACAAATATAACAGAGATACAAATTAAACTAATTTTTCAGATACAGTAGGTTTACTTAACATATTTATTTAACATCTATTGTTAGTTAACATTAATGACACGTATAGGTACTTAATTAGGAATGCTGTCCCTTTAAGACGGCAGGCATTCATGTAATACTGACACACGTTCAGTTTTCACCCACCTGTTTACGTTCACTTAATCCATAACCGACTGTATTTACGTGAGATACTCTACACGATAGACATTTGGACTGCTGTGTGTGTATTTGAGCACTGAGAACTGATCGCACGCTGTATATGAGAACTGAAGAAGTGGAGTGTGCGCGAGAGAGAGCACTTCTATCAGTGCCATTCCGCCTTCACTAACTTTAAGTTAATCGACAACGAATTGTGACTCCCGGAAAAAACGGGACGTCTGGTCACCTTATCCCTACCCCTTCAGGTGCTGAGGCCATTGTTTCAGATCGCTAGTTCGCGTTTTGGTAGCCTATCCATCCACTGCAGCTGCCATACTGAGACTAGATATGCAAACGCCCGTATCCAATTGCAAACCAATGACAGGGATGCACATTTTGAAGGACAAGACAGTAGCCTATAGGATGTATTTTGAATGTCCGGTAGTCCTCAAATAACATTATAGTCCCGTCTCATCTTGTTAACGAAGACGAGGCATAAATTTCATCATAGTTTTTATTATGAGACATTAGTTTTAGCTCGTCAACATCTCGTCTTAGTCACAGAAATAATGTTCGTTAACAAATATTTTTTGTCGTCGTCTTCATTGATGAAATTAACACTGTTCAGATGACTAAAAAACGTTCAAAGCCAAATTTTGTCTTTGGACGGACTCATCTTAGAGAACCTGAAAAATGTTCATATCTTATGTTAGAAGGTACAACATTTCAGTTCAAGGTTCAGTTCCCTTCAGCCTGTCCTTAGCTTCCTGTACTTTCACCAGATGCACACATGCTGCTCTAGCTCCGCTGAGGCTGAGCAGTGTTTACATTCTAAATTATTTGGATAATTTATCCATTATTTTTCAATTAAGCTGGTGTGTAACGAAAGAGATCAGCCTGTTACACATTTGGACTGCCTGGCACTTCAGAATTCTAAAGAATGAAACCCAACTAACCATGAACACTTGTATGACAGCACCATAGCTCTGCCACTTTTAATGTTTTACAAGATGTTGGGCTTGATGAACATTATGGCATCATCACCCTTTCAGGGCTGTTGTGCAGCAGACCCCTCTTTATTTGCATCTGTGCATTTGACGCTCTTTAATGTGACGTTCGCTGTTACACCTCAGTTCAAGAGGCACGTGACTAGATCTTCCTCTTTGCTACTAGTTATAAGAAAAAAATAAACATGAACAAACATCAGATGGTGTTGACAGAAAAAGAACAACTTATTGAAATGAATCATGTCTCTTAATTGCTCACAGTGTTTCAACTGTGTTTCATATTAGACACGCTCCAACTCTAAATGATTTTAAGAATCGCCTGAAGTCTCATATTCTTTCTTCAGCGTTTGAGCCAGCAGAGAGTTGAGGTATTGTTTTAGTTGCCCTGTTTGTGTGTTATGGTGTGGAACTGTGTTGATTTTGTACAACACTTTGGTCAATTCTCTGTTGTATTAAAATGTGCTATATAAACTAACTAACTGCAGAAATATGTCAGTAAATGTAGATGTAACATCACATTTACTTCAGAAAAGACTTTCATTGTACACAACGTTGATAGTCAGCTAGAAAAATAACTCCAGAGAAGAGAATTTTGACATATGTGCAATATATTGCATTCATTATATTTTACTTAACCTGTCGTCTTCATTTTTTTATGTATGTTTGAATAAATCTGTCATGAGAATATACAGGAAGACTTCAGATTTGAAAACAGACTTCTTAGGAAATGTTTACTCAATGAAATCATGGCACAGTGACTTCAGTTGTTATGATGTCTTGAGTAGGGACGTTGTAATGGTTTTTGGGCCCCCTCCCCCTGTACAGCATATTGATGTGGGCCCCACTTAAATCACATTCTGGGGCCAGGGGGTGTCCCCCTTGGTAGAAATCACATTCAGGTGGGGGTTACATTGGGCCCCCTCTCTATTCAGGACCCTTGGAATCATCCTAGGCAGGGCAAGGCAAGTTTATTTATATAGCACATTTCATACTCAAAGGTAATTCAAAGTGTTGAAAAATGATTTAAAATTAAATAAAACAGTTAAGAATAAAAAAAAATGAAGATACATTAAATACAATGCAATCATTTGGACGTAGCCTTTTTCGTAGCCTACTCCTTACAATATTATAATTCAGGCACCAGGTAGATTTTAACCTGTTAACCCGCACCTGGACGCCAGCGCACTGAACGCTCTTTGTTTGCATGTGTCAATGTTTACGAATAGATTAAATGAAAAGGGACAAAATTAATCTTGACAAACTATATATCATTCTAAAGGTCTAAGCCTCAAGCGTCGACGATAGATCGCTGTTTTTCAATGGAAAGCTTATAAGGAATGTATTTGCTAAATTTGTATAAGCAGTACACATCAAAACATGCATAATAAAAACGCAGTACGTACCAGATTCATCGTAATAACGAGTCACAAACGCATCCACTGCTGTAAATCCCGGTTTAGTTAGAAAGGTAAGGGTCCACTGAACAACATCCCATAGAGCACTTTTAGTCCAACGAAACAATAACGTTGTAATATGGATGGATATTCCTTGGTTTATGTATAATTTCTTCGGGGAGAGTTATTGTTTGTATCCGTTATGGAATAACTTGCGCTCAAAAAACTGCATCTTGGTAGTAAAAATCAACATGGTTTTGTAGCATACAGTGTCACAAACAGAATGAGACCAAATAGAATTTAGAATTTAAATGAACACTTCCTAACCCAGGATAACTCAAACCACCAGTTACACACACAAAACAAATCAACACAAAGTAAAAGAATCATGCCATTCAAAGGTATAGCTGAGAAAACATAATTGATATGTTCACTTACAACAAAACAATTTTCAAACACAATTATCAACACAAAACAAATATCAACCAATTCTCACTTTAACCAGAGTTCTTTGATGTGGTATCAAACTATTAGTTCATGGGGGAGAAAGTTTGTTTTCAACAAAAAATAAAAATAAAAATTCTCGCCAGAAAATTAGTTCGTCCGTGGCAGGAACCCGAACAGGCAATGCTCCACTCAACAACCCGGCCACGCTCTGCAGTCAGCGCCAGGAAGATCCAATAGTGCGGCAAGTCATTCCTTTGTTTGGCGTAATTAATCCTCTAGTGCAATTGACTCAACTAGTGTGACTCACTCGGAGGTGGCGGCAGTGGCAGCGCTAAAGGTAAGCAGCACTCAACACCACACGTACTACTTCCTCTTTCGTTCTTACCGTCGGCCTCCCCGTACGTAAATATATAGTTTAGTCATGAAACTCTAGATGGCGCAGGCTGATGGGTCGTTAACGTAACTGATATTCAGAGAGTTAAAGGACTTGGCACAAGCTGATTGGTTCATGCTGCATATGCAGCCAATTAGCTTACTGCCTTGCATTTATTTGGTCAACAGCCTTACCTATTTAACCATAACAACTTAATGAGCAGCAGAAAATAATATACCCACTCATACGTGTACTCGTGCCGCATTGCAATGCACTCAGAAGAGAGAGCGCTCATTCTTAAAGGGGCCACATCTCTATTTCACTCATTACCTTGGTTCAGTGATAGTGAAGAGTTTATAA